GTGGCTGAGCGTCTTCTAACTTTTTGATAGACTATGGTATTCACTCATCTGCCGTCGGCGATCTGCCTGGCTCTCATCTCTGTCCCAACTAGCTTGCCTCTGGCACTGACCTTCTTGGTTCTGCGAGCCTGCTCCCAGAATATGGATGTGGCGCCTCGCTCCGCATTCCTTGCTGCGGCTCTGCCGGCAGACAAGCGCACTGCTATCATGGGCTCGGTAAACGTTGTGAAGACTACTGCCCAGAGCATGGGTCCCCTGTTGACGGGTATCTTGTCGCGCAATGGCCATTTCGGTGTCTCCTTCATGATTGCAGGATGCTTGAAGGTAACCTATGATCTTGGCATGTTGTTCAGCTTTGCTGGTAAGGAGGCTGCTCGTCGGAAGCAGGCAGCTCAAGATGCCGACGAAGAGACAAGTTAGAATATTGACTTGTGAATCATGGGCGCAGTTCGTTGATAAATTTGTTACACCCATGCAGGAAGTACTGTAAAGAGTCAATCTGTTGTACAGTCTGATGTGTGTCTACAATTGATACAAAATATCAGTTCGTTTGGTCAGTAGACCGGAATACACCGAAAACATCTTCGCTTCGGCCATATCATACCAATTGAAGCTTTTTATCTACCCTACTTTGAGTTGAGTTCAAAGTACAAGGAACATCGCATCTAACCTTAGATTACCACTTTATTAGCGCAAGGGACTGGGAAATCGAGCAATTTTTAATATAACAGTTGACTTTTAATATATCTCGTATACACAGATCATTCCAACTCATCAAATATGAACAAAACGTTCAGATATACAATCAAATATCACCTCTTAAACAAAACGAGCAGCTCGGTTTCGCAAAACAGACAAACGGCGGCGAGACATCACAGTACGATTGCCTGGGGCAGTGCCATTGTGATGCAGCGTAACATTCAAGTGATTAGCATGGTGCTTGCCAGAGACGATATGCGAAGTTTTATTCTTCAACAACTCCATCACCTGATGAACGATCCGGTCGCTCTCCGCATGACCAGCATTATTAACACGTTCCTCCTGCACAGGCTCACGCTGGTTCTGCATAACCTGCGACGAACGCCAAGAATCCGAATTCGACCCGGGCGTCTGGATATTACTGATATCCTCGATGGAAGTCTGTTTCTCCGCGCGCACAGGCACCTCAGGCTGAGCAGTAGACATGGACTGCTTTGTACCTGTCTCCTTGTTCTCCTTTGCGGGGCTATTCTCATTGTGGAGGGGACTATCGCTGTCGCAAACCAGATTCACCCAGACCTGGCTATAAGCGACGAACTGGCGGGGCTCGCACTGACTAACTTCGACGCCATTTCTAATCTCTTTGCTGATTAGGGGCGGGTCGATACATCCTGGAACCTCGTGGACGGAGATGTTGCAACCGCTACCGCCTTCCAGGAAGGGGAGGTCATGGTTGTGGGAGAGGAGCTCTGCGTCGACGGAGATGGAGCTGACGAGGTTGTGTTCGTAGGAGGGGACGGCGAAGTTTTTGCAGCTGTTTATGGTGATATCTTGGGATGGGCCGGATTCTTGATAGTTTTCGTATGTGTCGAGTTTGCTGAATGCTTCGCCAGGGCAGTTTGGGTAGAAGTGTGTCCAGACGCGGGCGATGCTTTGGGCGTGGACTGTGCTTGATAGCAGGGCTAGGGAGATTAACGATGTGGTGAGGGAATGCATGGTTGATGGGATTTTGATATCCGCGAAGTTGTAGTTTTTGATGATCAGATAGAATTGCGTGAGTGTAAAACGAAAGAACTAAGACGCTCATCTACTCTTATATACATAGTACGCCCTGTAGCCTTTCTCATTCCATAATTGCCGCATCGCAGTAATTGGATGGCGGGGAAGAATGACTGGAATGAGTATGACGCTGAACATGAAACGCGTTTAAAATTCAGATCGAACTTCTGCGTCATACCCAGGGGCTGGCAAGTGTCATAAAATCCTATCTTCTATCAGTAGGCTGTCTGATCGCGCATTCCAGTCCCAAAGAGTCCATACGATGTCGATCTAGGCGTGTGTGGTATGTGGGTACTCCCTATACATTCCAATGAACGGCTGTTCGCCTCTCAAAAGGCTTGGAAATGCTTGGTAACCAATGAATACTGTCATAATATTCGTCCATTTTACCTAGAGAGATGGCAGGTTAAAAATAATTGGTGACATTGATGTATGAGGTTGGCCGGTGATCATTCCGCTAACATTTTATTGGTGATAAACTTCACTTGATAGCCTCTTGATACTATCATGTACTGAAGTTGTGACTATGTCCTTAAATCAAGCAAGATTCCATGGCTATGAAGGATGGTGTATTGAAATTGTACAAGCATGCTCTATGAGTACCTAACTGCTTGCAAATATTGTACAAACGACAAAAGCGTCGCCTAAGGAGACTTGTCGCTAGATCTACCCAAAAGATGAGAATCCGAGTCTATTTACAGACCCAGCTTGAAACCACCCCAACTAAGAGTGGAGAAAACTCCAGCGGGATCATAAGCAGACCTGATCTTTCTCATGCGAGCGACATTCTCACTGGGGAAGCCCGCATAAGGATCTTGCCACTCACCAGCATCACCCATGTAGACAAACTCGGAAGCAAGTCCCAGCTTTTTGTTGATACCGTGAAGGTGCTCAGTCAATTGACGAGACCAAGCTTCCATGCGAATATCGTCCTGGGCTAAGTCCCAGCCGGTACTGAGTTGCCAAACTGTCCAACCACGGTAAGTATAAGAAGCGAGACTGAAGCAACTTTGGAGAGACTTACTAATAAGAGGTTCTTCTTCGAGACCCCAGACGTTGCCAACACCGTTGGTCTTGGCCACGCGGACTGAAGTCGGGGAAATGACATTCGTGACAAAAGTCGGGTAAAGACCCTGAACATCGGCGACCTTGTCGACTGCGGCTTTCCAAGCCTTGTAAATCGAGTAAAGAACCTTGGCGTCAGGCTTCATTGTCTTGTGAGAAAATTGGACACTAATTAATCAGTAAACTGAAAACTGCAACCAGTCGAGATTACATACCGCATCATCTGCTTAGGGGAGTCAAGAGCATCAGCCCATGGCTTCATGGTAGTGACATTATTAATTCTTTGGACCGCTGGAATCTTGGTGAAGTTGGCGAACTGAGATGGGGGGCTGCTGACACCCTCCTGGACACCGAGGACAGATCCCTGTGCCACCTTGGTAGTCGCATTGTAGGTAACAGTGGCGATCATGCCCGCAGCAATGGGATCCTTATCGTCTAGCTTGGCCGCCTCGCAGACAGCCGAAAGGAAGTGGGGAATGTTTGTCTCATTGAAAACCTGAATAGTGGTGCTGACCTTAGGAACAGCATAAGTCTTCAGTTCGAATTTGGTGACGATTCCATAGTTGTTTGCACCGCCCTTCAAAGCCCAGAAGAGGTCGCTGTGCGAGGTTTTATTGACAGTGATCTGAGTTCCGTTTCCAAGAACGATATCGTAGGTGACCACATTGTCCATGGCATATCCGTGCTTGTTGTTGAAGTAGTGGAAGCCACCGATGAGAGTGAGCCCGGGAACACCAATTGTCTTCATACGGCCACCGATGCAGACACGGCCGTGAGGCTCAAGTGCCGAGTACACCTGGTACCAATTGAGACCAGGGCCAACCTCCACGGTGTCGCTCTTCACATTGATGGAGTTCAGATTCGATAGAGCAATTAGGACTCCCGCATCAATGTTGTTCGCTCCAGGATACTGTTGTAGAGTCAGAGAGTTAGTACAATTCCATCGTTCCTATTGCTATCTAGGATATAGACTTACGTTCATGTGGCCTCCACCACGAACAGCAAACTGCGCATCACATGCACCAATGATCTTGACTGCTTGCGACACTTCAGCAGCAGTGTTGGGCACGAAAACACACGCAGGAGAAAGATTCGCCCGGATATCCCAGTAGTTATCAACGGTCTGGGTCGTGTAGTTTGCCGAGCCAGGAAGGAGCACACTCTTTGGCATAGAGTGAGAAAGCTTCGCGCAAGCACATGAAGCCCCCTTGGGAACTTGAAGAGTACCAGAAGAAGTGGAGAGGAAGCCCGTTACTGTTGCCGAAGCGCTCGCGCTGCTCACATTGGCATACGCAATACCCGAAAGGGACAATCCGATAAAGGGAAGAAGAAGCTGCATTTTGAATGTTGCAGAATCAACTCTGTGGTCGATGGTTTTTAGATAACTGTAGGGGACGATCTATTCTTATAGAACTTTGCGATTCTTCTGCCTCCCTTTTCATGAAATCCGTGCCCAGAGTGGTTCCAGTCTAGTGTAAATCTACCGTGAAATCAACTCTCTTTTTGAGTATTCTCCATGCTGATCACGGCAAAGGCTCGGTTTCGGATCAACATTTTGGACCCTCCTAATATGTTCCACTTCATTTGAACAGGGCTGAGTTCTCTTCAGGCAGAACAGTTGTCAAGTACCATGTAACTAGGCATCTAGATAATTTTAAGCTCATTGCCTTCACCGAACAAGAGTTGCAGCTGCACCGATGAAGGGGATACCTAAACGGTGGAAAGTACGAACCCGAATACGATAAATAAAGTTACGAATCCGAACTTTATGACCAATCAGAGAGGCGTATTTCACTCTCGGGATTCGGGTTCGGATCTTTGATCTGTAAACATCCATGGGTTCCAAGGAAGGTTGGTTCCATGTAAAATGGTCCACGGGTGGTCTTTAAGATTGATCAGTCCACAAACACAAAAATACGAAGCAACTAAAATTTAATCTGAAGCCTAGAATCTATAATTTTACGCCCACAGTCTTGATCCATACCCAAAATAAGCTTATAGGAACAAGGCTGTCTACATTTTCTCGGATTCCAACCCGAGTACGTGAATCTACTAAAATAGATTTTCAGGGCCCAGCACTAGATCTTGCAAAAAATTTGTAGTAGTGCAATTGTCAAGTAGATATAAAAGCGTCCGTAAATCTCTACATAGACTTCATTAATTCAATCAACATAGCCTTCAGTTTCGATACTATACTTACTTTTCAACAACGACTTCTCCTTTACTCAATTCAAGCAACCAAAGCCATGGCCAACGACTCCACATATACCCTCTACAACTATGATCCGTCGGGAGTTGCGGCGATCATCTTCGTCGCTCTCTTCGGATTAACCACTTTAGTACACATTTTCCAAATGATCCGGAGTCGATCATGGTTCTTCATTCCTTTCATTATCGGAGGAATCTGTAAGTATACACCCCATCTAGGAACGAGGGTCTAATAGCTAACTTGCTCATAGTTGAAGCTGTCGGCTATGCCGGTCGCTATCTTAATTCCCGACAATCACCCGATTGGACAACTGGCCCGTATATCATGCAATCACTCTTGCTCCTTGTCGCACCAGCCTTCTTCGCCGCATCTATCTACATGATACTGGGCCGTTCAATCACCTCCACCGGCCACGAACAGCTCTCTCTCATCCGAGTCAAATGGCTGACCAAAATCTTTGTCTGCGGCGACGTGGTCTCGTTCCTCGCTCAGTGCGCTGGCGGTGGCTTCCTCTCTTCCGCAAAGAGCCAGTCCAAGATTACCCTCGGACAAAACATCATTATTGCCGGTCTTTTCATCCAAATTGCGTTCTTCGGATTTTTCATCGTGACTGCTGGTGTGTTCCATTACCGGCTCTCGAAGTGCAATGATTGCGCTCCCAAGTCTGCTATCGCAGTGCCCTGGATGAAGTGCTTGTATGTCCTGTACACGGCTAGTCTGTTCATCATGATTCGGTCTATTTTCCGTGCCATTGAGTATATTACCGGTACAAATGGTCCGCTCATGTCGACGGAGGTGTATCTGTATGTCTTTGATGCTACTCTGATGTTCTTGGCTATGATCACCTTCAACATCTTCTCACCGAAGTCATTGGTGACCCCCCGCTCGGCAACACGTGATATTGAGTCTCAGGGGAGTGTCAAGGACCTCGAAATGAGAAGTACCTAGGAACAATGCCTAAAAAAAACGTATATGAGCCCTGGAGGCTAAAAACATTGGAGCCTTGGGAGCGGAACGGGGAGTACCATGGAGTATTTTTAGGTTAACGTTTGTTTTGTGGGTCGGATTGGTGGCGCTAGCATTTTGGCATTCGACATGAATTTCGGTTTTGGAGTTAAAATTTTTGTCTCACATTTACCCAGGTAACTATATTGTACGTATGTACATCTTGGAATTTAAACACTACATCATCTCTCTCTGATTGTCCATATATCTACTTCGGCCTGTACGGGTTCAGTCCCGTTAAGGGGTAACATGGGGCCTCGACGGGCGCACACAAAATCTAGAAACGGCTGCCAGTGGTGCAAAGCCCGCAAGGTAAAAGTGAGTGGCCCAAGAGAACAATATGTCTCCTTCACTGTTTAACATGTTCAAAGTGCGATGAAACCAGGCCACACTGTAACAACTGCTTCAAACACGGAATACAATGTGTCTTCGGCGAGAGTGCCCCCGCAGGCCCCGCTAGGCAATCAGGGTCACCTCCAACTCTCGGCACTTCCAGTGCCCCAAGTCCCGCCTCCTTGGGGGAGATCTCCCCAACAATGGGCATGGCCGAGATGGCTCTACTCCACCATTTCTCTACATCAACCTGCTATACTATTTCACGCAATCCAATACTGCAAACAGTATGGCAAATCCGGATCCCACAAGTCAGCTTCTCGTCGCCATTTGTATTCCGCGCCATTATCGCTCTTTCCGCGCTACATCTAGCTCATTTAAAGCCCGAATTCCACGACTATTACGTCTCTCAAGCCGAGCTTCACCATAACACCGCCTTGAAGATGGTGTCCGCAATCCTCCCAGATGTCAACAAGGATAACTGCCAAGGCATATACGTTTTTTCGGTCCTGACCTGCATCATCTCCTGTGCTAAGCCGCGCATCAAGCACGATTTCTGGGCAAATCGGGATCGAGATATCGAGTGGTTGAACCTATTTCGTGGCACAATACACATCCTGGCGTCAGCAGATCGCTCCCTCAAGACGGGACCGCTGGCACCAATTTTTGCGATGGGTCACCGTAGGAAGCTGGCTCGGGATGCGAGGTCTGCCACGGCTACGCCACCGTTTCTTCTCGTTTTGAAACAGCTCTTGCAGGATACAGTTCTTGATCCCAGTGAGCTGCAGTGCTACAATGACTCAATCGATGATATGGCGATGTCATTCGCCACAGTCAGCGAAATCGGATCACACAACTGTGAGACTGCTGATATATTTATTTGGCTGTTGAGAGTTTCGGATCAGTATTTTGGGTACTTCCAGCAGCGCACACCTGAAGCGATGGTAATTTTTGCATATTTCTGTGTTCTTATGAAAGAGATGGAATGGGCTTGGTGGATGCAGGGGCTCAGTGTCCATAATATTAGTGGTATATATTATACTCTAGGCGAGGAGCATCGTTGCTGGTTGCAGTGGCCTATGCAACAGGTGGGATGGGTCCCATGAGAGCAGTGAAATAAGTTTACTACTCATTCATGTTTAATATACCTTGCTACTCTAACTAATCCTTCATCCGTGCTAATTACCCTTGCTCAAAGTGCGTTGCAAGCTTCTTATACACATCACTAAACTTTCTTTGTTGCAGCTTATTTGTTGAAAAATGCCTCCTATGTCGGATAGTAAGGTCCCCCGGAAGCTCGCGTCTGGAGTTTAATGAAAATATCAAAATTCGGTGTCATATGTGCCCTGATTCCTCATCACTTCTTCTCAACAGGATGCTTCTGCAAACTCTCATACCACTGGATCATAGATCCTATCATGAAAGCCACCGAGCCCCAAAATGTAGCGAGTGACGACTGATAATTCACGCCAGAGTTACTACTCGCCGGACCCAGTGCACCGCAAAGAGTAAATCCAACACTGCCAATTAAATTCCAGAGCTGAATATGCCAGCCCAGAACGTGCCAAGAAGGAATATACCACTTTGGCTGCGTTTCCAGCATGTACAGTAATGAACTCAGAGTGAATCCTACCCCACCAAGAGTGGTAGTACCCCAGTAGAGGCCATCAGTGAGACCCTGACTCAGGTGGTTAAAGATACCAGGAATGCCAACAATTGCACCAATCCAGAAGATCGTCGCGCTCACAAATAAGACAAAAGAAGCTATGAAGCCAATTTCATGAAAATAATGTCCGCGTAATTCCGATATCGACGGAATCCATCGGAAAGACCTCCCATCTGTCGATGAAGTAACGTAACCAGTGTCATCTCTCTGAGAATGGGCATTGTCATTGGCATAATAGTGCTTCTCCCCGAGAAACGATTTCCGATTCGCGTGATGATGCTCACATCTCGAAGCCGTCGGCCTGAGCTCGTTCATCGCATGTCGAGGAATCCCATCCTCGACAGTCTTCTCGAGGACAGTCTCAAGTGCCCAGCCAAAACACCCAGTATGATTGGTATTAAAGGCCTCAAGAATCAGCAATACACCCCCTAGCTCAAAGATAGTCGCGCCGACGAACCCCGTCCAACCGCCGGCAACCGTTATTTCACCTTGAAACTCGGTCTTTTTGTCTACCAGCGGTAACCACACAAAGAACCCATTGACGATGAAGACTGCGGACCCGATAGTGAAGCTCATGGCAACGAGATATGATACATCCCAATAAGGGACGTAAGTAACCATCCGGAGAAAGATCTTGGCTACTGCTGGGATGGACTGCGTCACTGGTGGTACTATGAGCCCTGTTTCATGGGGCAAGGCTTTTGTATCGATGCGAATGGCATGTCGGCCTTTTCTGTTGTCGCGGGATCGCCATAGACGCTCGACTTGTGGGGGAGCACGACTGTCTTCTGGATGCTGAGTTGGTTCGTAGCGTGCTAAGGTGGGATTTAGGAAGGGTACTGCGCCCGTGACATGTGTCTCGTCCAGTTTGAAGCCATGATGACCTGAAGGTTTGCGACCGGTCTGGAAGTGCGAGTGCCGGCGCATCATATTGGCTGGGCCCGGTGTGAGGTTGTGTTGAGGGGCGTCTTTAAGCCACTAAGAACACATTTTGGTGATGACTCGATGCATATGTGCTGGTTTATTTTCAATGATAGTATTTGGAGTAACCGCGGAGGTGTGATATATGTTCCGTACATGCAGAGGTCGACGTCAGCACGATGTAGATATGCGGTAACTAAAAAGCGGCGTGCCTCGACCCCCGAAATAGCAACCCCAGATCTTTTCTAGGGTTGTCTTATATACAATAAAGTGGTAATTGACTGACCACACTGTGTGTATGCCCAGATGTGTATACTGGGATGTAAGTGTCATTGAGTGACATGCCACACTACATATGGTGGTCCGTGCATGTGGCTATCACATGTCGGAGTAATATATTTCCCGGTGCCTTGGGTGCCATGTCGTTATCTGGGAGCTTCAACTTTCAACTCAGCTGTTGCAATATCTGTCCAAACAGACCCATCATATTGATCATCATATCCAAAATAGAGACAAACATCAATGCTAAGCAGAAAAAATCGACAGGTACAACATCACTCATAATCAAAAAACAATCGCCTAAAAAATCCAAATGATATTCCGCACTCAATTTACGAATCGTCGACTTGATCTCCTCTAGAGGTAGATCAAGGGCTATGGGAATGTCTCTGTGGCCATTCAGACAAAGAGAAGTAGACATGGGAAGTCATGTCTGTTTAGACCCGTTCTCAGCACTATCATCCCCCCCATCCTCGACATAAGCAGCCTGATTGCCAGCTTCAGACCTAGCCTTGACACTAGACTCTGTCTCGGTATCAGCGCCACCATCATCTTCATGCTCAACAGCTTCGGTGGCCGTCCGCTGCAGACTTGCAGGCTTGGTCTTTTGAACTGCCTTGCCTTTATTTCGACTCCTATCAGGCAAAGACTGCTCCGCTTCACTCCTCAGGTCAGCCCCAGACTCATCGCCAGCCTGCGACATGCGGGAACTCTGATTCATGTTCCTCCTTGCGCGGGCACGCGCACGACGGATCATTTTGTTATGGTAGTCTTCCTGTTCAAGCTCAGTATCCTCGTGGAGGATGCGACGAGCAGCTTCGCGTCCAACAACAGGTAGTCGGTCGACACCCTGAACTCCGTCCGGCAGGAGCTTGGGGTCAAGAAGACCGACTTGCACGAGGACGCTGGCTTGGTCCCAGTATACATGCTCGGAGTAAAGACGCCCAGCACGCATACTGACAATACTCACGAGGATGATCTCGACTCGCTTGTTTGTCGGCGGGACACCCGGTAGCATCCATGGAACCTCCTGTGTGTGCTCGTAACTCACGTACAGCTCGTCTACGATGCGATCAGGTCCTGTGGTACGAGATAGCAGTCGGAGGCGCATGGACGGGGGTAGTTTGCCGATGAAGTACTGTTCATAAAAATGGCGCAAAGCCTTTTTCCCAATTCCGCCGCTGATTGTCGGCGTATAAGTGACCCCGGGGGTTTTGTGTTGCACATAGCCGTCCATCGCCTTCCTGACGTTCGAGGAGAAAAACTTGCCTAACAAAGTATTAGCCCGCCATCGCTCGATCCTGTGGCGATTGCAACTTACCCTCTACATGTTGCTCATATCTCTGCTCATAATCTGGATCCCTGGAATAGCCCTTCCGTAGGACCTTCAAGGTCCGCGTCCAGGCTAGATTCGCTGACAGATGGTCGTATTCCTCCAGGTCCGTCTCCGCAAACCCGGGAACGGCATTATCATACGTAAACGCCGGGTATGCCAGATCCAAACGCTCTCCAGTCCCGATACCAGCGTTGATCGGCCGCGTCTGACGGCGTTTCTTCCCTTGCAAGCCGAGCGCGACGGGTTGAACAAGTACATCCACAGTCTCACCTGCTAAGTGTACGAGGACCTGAAGCGAGAGTGGGAATCGTGATCGCGTATCGGGGATTAGGCTGGGGTAGTAGGCAACCAGGGCGCAGAGTCGACTGGCGTTGATGGAATTGATATAGTAATCGAGACAGTAGTCTGCGGCGTCGCCGTAGGCTAGGAATCGCGTCAGTCAGGTCATCACTCGGAGTTCATGGTATTTAGAGAGTGTTCTGTGCATACCGATCACAGCATAGTTTTCGCCTACACCTAGACCATCCTTTACAGATTGCAACCGACGAGCGTAGTCTTTTCCTCCGCCGTTAAAAGGGAGGTATAGGACGTCAAATCCTTCCTCTTGCCAGTTCTTGATGATCTCCATGTCGAAGTCTTCGGTCTCGGCTGTAACGCATAGTCGCGCATTATTGTTTCCATTGTTGTAAAGAAATCCACCACTGGTCAAACCAGGGGCACTGATTGATATGTTGGCCATTGTGCTGCTTGTGCTGCTTTTCTTTGTGGTTTTTGATCGCATGTACTGCGTTTGTTGTTATTGCTTCAACTCGGCTTCCTGCAGATTATTTTCGTTTCAAATCTCAAAAATAAACGATTCAACCCAGGAACATGCTATGCAAATAATCCAATCGACAATATACGTAGAGCAGGATAAATGAAAAGTGGTCTGTTGACATATAACGATATAACGGGTCCTACGTCATTGGCGTTGGGTCCCCATACGTCATACCACCATCCGCCTGCGGGTGGAACATGGCATTGTTATATTAACTCTTGGCATCTACAACGAACAATTTGATTTGGCGTTGCATTTTTTTCTACTCTCTTTGGTCTATTTGACCTTTCAGATATTTTCTGTGGGAATATGCTATGTATAATGAAGGTAATGTTCTTGCTCTATTCAAATAATGAAGGTCGGTGCTCGTTATGTACCATTGATGGCAGTGCTTGACAGATGACGAAAATGCAGGAGACCCGACTATCCATGTACCTTGACCAAGTCTCGGGTGGGGGACTTTCGCGTTTCATGTGGAACGGCTCTCGACAAACCAGAAACGGCTACAGTTACTATTTTTATCTACTGCCTCCCACCGGGTCAACGAAGATGACCTACAATCCATATTTGTCCAACTTGAAATGTATGATGGACGATATATACGTCCTATGATTGTATTCTAACGAGCCCACAATATCGGCATAATCATAAATTCCTCATGAAGTATACGAATACCAACATCCAAATGATCTAAAACAATGTGTAAAGAAGAGAAGACAGATTTAGAATGATCTCTTGCCTGCGAGTAAGCTGATTCACATTGAGCACCTGGGGAAGAGCGTCTCACAGCCGTTTCCGAGAAGTCAGCACAATGCTGTATCAAGGATCCCATCCCCTCCGTGTTCTTAGGACAAGATATCTGCCACAGAATATCCACATTGTTCCTGAAGCTGTCGCACGAGATTATGGAGTCAGGGTCAAATGCAACAGGGGGACGAAGTACCAGGTGGGCATGGTATTGGTGCAGCGTATCGGTCGTGGCATTGGGATGGGAAACTAAATCGTATCGGTGCTACAGCGTCATGGCCACCCTCAAAAACATGCACCTTGATGTAGCAGTGATCGAAATACCGCCTGAAGCAATTGA